AGAATGGAGATCGAAATTAATGGATTACGCGGAACTGGACAGATTGTGACAGGGAGGATTCGCAACGAAAGAGATCAAAGATTCACTGAGGACTGAAGTAAATTTACAGAATATATTAAAAATATTTGTGATAATGATACAACGTTTGTAAGTTTTCAAGAAGCTCTGTAAGAAGGTTTGGTAGAAATATTGTTTAAACAACATGGTAAGATAAGATATGTTGTTGTTTATTAATTCCACAGCAGTATTTCAGATGAAGGGTGATATACAAATTTAATTAATAAATAAAATAATAATCTTCCTAAGTGTTCCCTGTTTTCCCATCATCTTGGATAGTGCAGGTTTAGTAACAAGAATTTGCTGAGAATCAAATCAATTTTTATTCTCAAGCTCAATTTTGTTTCATCTCTCACAAGTAAATGGTAAAGGATGCCTGGACCCCACAAAGGTGACTGTGGGGTTGCGGTGCTCATCTTACTTTTCAGGCTAAGGGAGCCGACGTTTGTCCACAAACAGGGTCATGTGACCAGCATGACTAAACCACTTCTGGTGCATGGAGGGCCATGACAAGTGCCAGAGAACATGGAAACATTGTTTCTCACAAAAAAATGCATCTATGGAACAGCTAAAAATGATTGGGAAACTGATTTTTTAGCACTGCAGTGAATCCAAGGAATTTTGTTCAAGTAGAAATGGCAAAAGGAGCATTTAAAGTTGGCATTAAAAAAGTTTAGGAACACAATTTTTGCCTAGAATTCTTAAGTACATAACGGCAGACAAGTTTGTTTCAATTAGAAAAGTCCTAGGGTAACATTTAAAGCCTCCCAGATGTTGGGAGGCTGTGAGCAGCTCTATAAACTGCTATGATACAAGGGTACAACCAACACAATGGACTCTGGAACAATCAGGAATTTAAACATCATTAAAATAATGTTTAGGAGATAGTAGGATGGTGCATTCTAATGCCATTCAATGAGTGCTAGTGAGAAAATGGATTAAGTTTAGGTTAGTAATGGCCCATAGAATTTCTCTGGCAATGTCATTTTTCCACTGAAACATTTTCAAAGTGATAATATATTGTGACATCAGTTTCTAGAAAACTAGAGGAACATACAAAATTTGTGAGGGGACTGAAAGATGTGAGAATTAGTTGCAGTGGCAGCAAAGGATCTAGAAACTTATATATGAGTTTTGGCTAATAAAAAGCTTAAATAAATCTGCAAGGACTAACGGTATCACATAGGTCACAAACTAAACTTGAGATAATGCTGGGAAACTACAATTCTCAGAAAGGATTGCTATCTAGAGTATAATGCAATCCTTTGAGTGTCAAGAATAAGAGACAGGAGCAAAAGGTGGAAAAAATATTCAAAGATAAGAGACAGATGGAGGAAGAATGTGGGGGCAAAAGAAAACTCTTATAAGCTGATTCATCTATTGCAGGCAACTTAGTTGACTGTATCATTCATGTTGCGAGGGGGCCGCAATGCTACCGCAGGGGGGACTTAGATTTGTGTGAGGCTGGAGCTCGGGAAATGGTGGAGGCAGCAATGAGAAGCAGGCGGGCAAGGGACCTGGGGAGTGGTCTGTGCTGTCTCTGACAGAAGGCGGGATCAGGACCAGCAACAGCATCAGCTGCTTGGTTCCCCTGGGTGGGGGATCAGGCAGGATTGGGATGCAACAGCTGCATGGCTCCCTTTGACGGGGGGGGGGGATGGAGAGAGAGAGCTGCTTAAGGGGGTAGAGAGAAATTAAGAAAGGGCTGGCTTGGGGTGGGGGTGGGGAGAGAAGCCGACTGGCTCCTCAGAAAGAGAACTTTTGCCTCCCTTTCCTTCCCCCCCCAACTTAAACTCCCCCCTCCTTAGCCACCTCTTTCAACACACGCACCCTGCGCACACTCCTCGTCCCTTCAATGACAATGGGTAGATCACTGCCAGTTTATGATCCTGGGTAGTAGATCACAGCCTATTTGAAGTTGGACGTGCCTGATCTTTTGTATCGTACATCTTTTGCAGTTATAAAGGACATAATCAAAAAGCTCTCCAAGTCGAGGACAAATAAAATAGCAGCAAAAGCACAATTAAAATCCTCAAACAAATTTGAGGTTTCAAAAAATATAACTGAGTGCTTGATGCCAGAAATGTGGGTGGAACTTTGCAGTCTTCAGATATACTAGGTGCTTGTGAAAAGATGTAAGTTATCAAGTGCTTTATGTTGAACATGTGGGCGATATAGTCTTCATACATATTTTTGTGGCTATGTATGGCTATAAGAAAAGTTTGGGTTATAACTGTCGCTATTTAGGGAATAGTGAGGTATTAACTTCCCAACTGTCATCTTATTAGGCAAGTTGGATGGTGGATAATAAATGTAAAAGGTAAAGGGACCCCTGACCAATAGGTCCAGTCGTGGCCGACTCTGGGGTTGCAGCACTCATCTCACTTTACTGGCCGAGGGAGCCGGTGTAAAGCTTCCGGGTCATGTGGCCAGCATGACTAAGCCGCTTCTGGCAAACCAGAGCAGCGCACGGAAACGCCGTTTACCTTCCCGCCGGAGCGGTACCTATTTATCTACTTGCACTTTGACGTGCTTTCGAACTGCTAGGCAGTCAGGAGCAGGGACCGAGCAACAGGAGCTCACCCCGTCGCTGGGATTCGAACCGCCGACCTTCTGATCGGCAAGTCGTAGGCTCAGTGGTTTAACCCACAGCGCCACCTGATAATAAATGTAAAAGGTAAAGGTACCCCTGCCCGTACGGGCTAGTCTTGCCAGACTCTAGGGGTTGTGCGCCCATCTCACTCTATAGGCCGTGGGCCAGCGCTGTCCGGAGACACTTCCGGGTTCACATGGCCAGCGTGACATCGCTGCTCTGGCGAGCCAGAGCCGCACACGGAAACGCCGTTTACCTTCCCGCTTGTAAGCGGTCCCTATTTATCTACTTGCACCCGGGAGTGCTTTCGAACTGCTAGGTTGGCAGGCGCTGGGACCGAACGACGGGAGCGCACCCCGCCGCGGGATTCGAACCGCCGACCTTTCGATCGGCAAGCCCTAGGCGCTGAGGCTTTACCCACAGCGCCACCCGCGTCCCATAATAAATGTAGTAGATGATAAATGGAGCAACATGATTCTAATATGTTGGGTTTTGCCTGGATTTTAGTGACACTGAAAAATAATAATAAATTATTACCCCTCAGAGAATTGTAACATGGAATTTGGCAGAGTCTTGGGGCCTGATTGCACTAACTCAGCACAACAGCAGAAGTCAGAGCAAGGGCTCCTGTTCCTGCAAGAGGGCTTTCCCTGCCTCTCTCCATCCCCCAAATCCACTCTAGAGTATTGGGAGAACCCCCAGAACTACACACAGGGGGAGAGGAAAGCAGGTTGTTTCATCTGGCAAGCACTGTTGAGTTCCTCCCTTGATATTTATGATCTCATTCTTTAAAATGCTCTTGGGGGGAGAGGTTACTTCCAAAAACTCACTGTAACAGTGGGAGTAGTTTTCATGGTATCTTTACTATATTTTGGGGCTACTACCAGGTTTAGTGCCTTGCACATGTGTGCAATCATATGTCGTTTGGACGTGCCTAAAACAGGAGTTGCCTATACTAAAATAAGATCATTAGTTTAATGAGTTATTAGAATAACTGTGTCATTTAATCTAATGCTCTTCTGAAGCTGCTCAAGGGGGTGGGAATTGGAAGTACAGTGGCACCACGCTTCAGGTTACAGACTCTGCTAACCCAGAAATAGTACCTTGGGTTAAGAACTTTGCCTCAGGATGAGAACAGAAATTGTGTGGTGGCAGCGCGGCACCCCATTAGCTAAAGTGGTGCCTCAGGTTAAGAACAGTTTCAGGTTAAGAACAGACCTCCAGAACAAATTAAGTTCTTAACCTGAGGTACCACTGTACTGTATTACAGTAGTTGCACTCCTAGGTCACTACCTCCTATGAGGTCACTACCAGCAAGTAATATTAGGATTTTGTTGGATGTTGTGGAGTGCCAGCCCCATGACCTTTGACTGTGGGGTCCCCACAAGGGTCCATTCTTTCTCCTATGTTATTTAATGTCTATAAAAGTATTCATGTTCTTGAAAATCATATTCTCGAAGCTACCAGCATGAGTTTGACCAAACTGCGGGAGGCAGTGGAAGACAGGAGTGCCTGGCGTGCTCTGGTCCATGGGGTCACGAAGAGTCGAACACGACTCAATGACTAAACAACAACAACATAAAAGCATTGGGGGCTGTCATCCAGGGTTTTGGATAAGTTCCACTATAAACATATGGGCTTAATACATCAATCAATTTGGAATAAATCAATCAATTTGGAATAGACCAAAAAGGGAGGAGTAGCAGCGTCATATGTAAAGATAGTCTACACTCTTGAAGAAATCCATGACCTGAAGCATGAAAAGCAAATTGAGAGTTTATGGTACAAATTGCAACAGTGACCTTACTGTGGGGGTCTGCTAAAGACCTCCAAGCCAAACTGAAGACATGATGACTCCTTCCTAGGGCAGATGACCAAACATTCAAAAAGGAGAAAGATCAGTAGTCATGGGAGACTTCCAACAAATTCCTCCATTGCCTCATTGTCAATTTCATTTCCCAGAAGGTGGAAGAACCAGCAAGGGGATCATCTATCTTGGACCTGGTCCTCACCAACAGGAAGGAACTGATTGATGCAGTGGAAACGCGCGAGGAAGTGACCGTACAGAGGCAAGGGAAAGCTGAGCCCAGTCGGACACAGACTCTGGACTTGAAGGAGGGCAATTTCGAAAAGCTGAAGATGCTCCTGGGCTCAGAAGCCCCCGAGAGACGCGGGTCCCAGAGGGAGGGGAGGTCCTGAAAGGCCCTTCCAATCAGAAAAGCGGGAGGCGGCCAAGGGACCGGCGGGGCCGCCTAAGGAGCTGGCGGGTGAGCCGAGATGGGAGACGCGCGGCAGCCTCCCTGCTCTCGCCCGGCCTCCCCCCCCCCCCCGCCCGGCTGGCGGCGCTCACCTGCGCGGCTCCGGCGGGGTCTCCTTCGACGTCTCCGTCCGGCAGCCTGAGGGGAAAGAGGCTCAGAGTCAGAGGCGGACAGACAGACAGACAGACAGGGGACCCCGAGGGGAGCCGGGGGGGGGAACAGGCCGCTCACCGCAACACGCGCAGCCCCGCCGACTCCGCCATCTTGGCGACGCCACGGAAACTTCGAGAGCGCCAAGAGTTTGGTTCGGTTTTCTTTACGGCGAGGGAAGGGGCGGGGCGTCACGGTGACGCCATCAGCGAGCGCCCTCGCGCGCGCGCGCTTAGGAAAGACGCCCGCGCGCCCGCCGCTCGGCTGGAGCGTCAGAGGGCGCGAGACGGGCGCGCCGGGGCGGAAGAGGAGGCGCGTCCCTGAGCCGCCTGGGCGCGGCCGCGTCTCGGGGCGGGAAGGACGGCGAGATCTTCCCCGTCGTGTAAACTTGGCTGAAAAGATTAAATTCTTCTCTCCTGAAGCTCCCGACCCTCATCTGGTTCTGGTTCTAAATTTACGTGGCTTCACTTTATAAGCTAATCCTTTCGAGGCTTTCTCATGCAAAAGCATCATATAGATTTGGCTGAAATCTTGCCTAGCTACACAAAATTTTCCGTACCGGGAAATTGGAAGGAGGGCGCGAGACCCCGCCCCCCTCTCCCGCCCACGAGGCACGTGCCCACCTGCCGCAATTCGCTGATGTTGAGCTCAATGGGGAAACTAGAAATTCCGAAGAAATCACACCTCTGGAGCTGGAAGTTCTGGCATTTTTTCCTGTCTCATAAAACATCCGTTCTCCCATGTTTTTGTTTTAGCTCCATTATATCTGCCAATAACAGATTCTTTCTGCTTCTTTCCCTTTTAAAATGATTGTTTTTGCAGAAGCCTCCAGTGAGTTGCATGCAGATTGGCTGTACTTTTAAATATATACATTAAAAAAAAATCCTTGAGGGTGGGGAGCTAGAAAGAGCCCTACTTCTGCTTCCTTTCGTTTCATTTTTTATTATTATTTGTTGTTGTTGTTGTAAGGGTGGTGGGGTGCACTTGCATATCCTGCAAGTGTCCCATTTTAAGTGGGACATTCCAGATCACAGAAGCCAATCCTGGCTTGTGTTTGGATCCTGGAATGGAGCGAGTCAACAGAGCCGATGAGCACCAGACAGCAGGAGAGGAAGGTGTGCCCCTCCTAACGTCCCATTTTGGGGGACGAAAATGTTGGAGGGCATGCACCTGCCAGCCTGTCATATAATTAGTAAAAGATTAGATATAGCTATTGATTTCTGTCGACCGCTCTCTTCTGCCCAAAACTTTAAAGTATTTCAAAACAAGAGCTAGCTATAGAAAACCAAAATTGAGGAATTCCTTCTGTGTTTATTATCTTTTCAGTGGAGATAAATGACAGGCGCACAAGCAAATGCTGTGGGCAAATTATCTTTTCCGCTACAAACTTCCCTATAGATTCAGCAGTGCATGTTTCCATATTTGCTTTAAATGCTGTATTTTGAGTCTTGTTTCTTTTTTTCTTCCTTTTACCCACATCCCAAAGGAAAAATAATGGTGAGGAAAGCAAAAAAAAAAAAAAAAACAGAAAAGAAAAGAATTGAGATACGGAAAAAGATCTTATGGGACTGTAAGATTACAAGGCCACTGTTGCAGGGGTTTTCACTGTCATGAACTGGCAGGACAACAGGGAGGAAAGGAGGAAGAGGATCCTGTCAAGGGGTTTAGCTGTGACTGGGACACACCTGGGGAAGCTGAGGATGGGGAAAGGAGGTTGGTGTAGGAAGTACTCGTGGGGAGATGGAGGATGGTGGGGGTCAGTGCACAGGAACCAGAGCAGCAGGACCCATCACCAGAGAGGCCCGTCTCTACAATCATGGACCCTCACTTGGATGTTCCAGGGAGTTCTTGGGGACTGTGCTTGTGTGGGACTGACCTCCCAGTGCCCTGACCCCTTTATCAGCTGCAAAGACAGGAACCTGGTCTGACTGGACTTTGGACCTGCTGGACTGCACACTAACATCTGATGTGGGATCGTGCACTCCAGAGCGACTTGCCGCCAGGTACCCTGTGGTTTAGGATGTCCACACTCAGTGACCACGCTCCAAGGATAATCAAAGCTTCACAGTGCCCATGAGGTTCCCCCACCCCTGGAATGGAAAACTGCCACTGATAGAAAATGACTAGGGAGAGGAGTATAGTTAAGCTCTATTTCACATCAGCCCTTTATACAATAATCACTTGTTTTGATGTATTACATGTTCTTGTGCTATCTTAAAACACTTACCCAACTCATCATGGCATAAGCTTTTGCAAACTAGAGCCCATTAGACAGATGAAGAGTTATCATCCATTGGCAGCTATATGGAGCCAAATTGCCAGGAGGTGCAAGGGGTACCAGCTTAAATGTATACAATTGTATACTTTGTTGCTTCTGCCACAAAAAGTTGTGCTTCTGGAAGCTGCTAGATAGAAGCCTGCTTAGTACATAACAATGCAGGATTGTCATAAATCACTGCAATGTGGGGATAAGTAGGAGTGGATGACAGTGCAGAAGAGTCGTCAGTCAACAGTGTGCACACAATACTGGAATATTTTGGAGAGGAGTGAGAAGTCCTGTTGCATGAGAAGGTCACCTGTGAAGCGTTGGATGCAACCTACCAATATTGGGGGATTAAAAAATATTTTTATGCTGAGTTTATTTGATGGCCATATTGGTGAAGACACTTCATTATTTGCTGTACTGTATTTGAATTTATTTACCAAGACTGTTTTATCCTGAACTGTTCTACATGGTAATGTATGCCAAATTTATCTCTTCCAGACTCCTAGATTCACAAACAAAAACATATAAACATGTTGTACTTGATTTATTTTCATAATAAACCAATTAAAATACAAAAGACAAAAAAGGTTCAGAAGGGTTCCACAATTTAAAATTTTTTTAAATACAAATCCACTCTGTAATATCTGAATACATATAACTTTAGAGCTCTAAACATAATGATCTTATTTGTATCTATAAAATATTGCTCTATGGAAACAAAATTTTGAAAAAGTCTTTGAGAAATTAAATTACATATTTACAATAGAAAACTGTAGTTCTATAGAAACATTTTAATCTCAAAATACTTTCATAAATCATATAATTCTTTTTTCACCTTCCTACAAAATAATGGGAAACGCATTTTTTAAAGCTTGACTATTGAAGTGGTCTGAAAATAATTGCACCTGTAATGATAACTTCAGTTTTGGTGAACAGGGAATACCCAATATATCCGCATTATGAAAACAAAAGCATATTGTAAATTAGTATCTTCTTGGGACGGGAGGTGTATTTCATTTTGCACAACGAAGTAGTTGGTGCAAAACACAATAGAAACAAGGATATTTCCAACTGTCCGCTTGTTTTCTGTCCATATAAAAACAAAAATATTTTAGTTCACTGGCATTAAACAAATCTTTGGAATCTGCTAAAAGAATCACATAGATGGGTGAAAACATCTTTGTAGAAATTTATTATTTTCAAGCACTGATTACAGCAATGGTTATATTATTATGCAAGATAGCAAGATAGACAAATAACGCATGAAGTGTATGAAATTAAGATTTTTTGGACAGTGATCTAAAAAACATAAATGCCATATTCCTTCAAGCTTGCATTTTTAAACATTAATATTTTATATCATTTAGCAAACAAAACACTGAAATTAAGTGTATTGTATTACTTCTAAATTAATTTCAGAAATTAAAGTAGCTTTGTAATGCCTGCTTTGGAATCAAATTATACATAAACAGCTGATGAAGTCCCATCACACACAAAAAACCCTTTACTTGTATGAACTTTGCTCCAACTGTTCACTTTCTTGCTTAATTTGCACAGAAGAGGGAAATCCATTGGAGTTTGATACCACCACCATCAAAGGCTGCTGTTGGAAGCCTTGCTCTGAGTGTTTGCATTCTTCCACTGTGTTATCCTCTGCCTCTGATTTTATCACTCCTTGTATAACAGTTGGTTTCATTTCTGGAGCTTTAATGACGGAAGTGATCACAGTGTTGGACGGCTGAGCAACAACGTGTGAATTGCTGGGCGTAAAAGTTACCACCGGGGTAGCAGTGCTGAAGGATGGAGAAGAAGCCATGTTGACTGTTCCATTGCAAATGGTCTGCACGTTGCTGGTGAGAACTTGGTGAACCTGAGCAGGACTGAAGACAATGGATGAAGGAGGAGAGACTGGCTTGGGAGACTGCAGCATAATGTTCTCTTTAAGCACAGTCATGGGCTGTGAAGTTGGGATGGCTTGTAGAATAAACTTTTGGGGTGTTGTGGTGGATGTTGGATCTGCGCTGGCTATCACTGTGGTTAGAGGCACTGTCTGGAGTGTTACTGTATGCAGCTGCTGGTGATTCCCTGGAGACACAACAACCGGAACTTGGCTTGGGGCTTGGATAGTCCTGTTAAGAGAGGCAAAAATAATTACATTTCCCCCCCCTACTTCTAATGCATTTGTAATATTGTTCTGTTTGAAAGCCACATGACAATGAACTTGCCTTCAGCCTGGAAAGCCAATGCTAAATCCCTAATGAGGACTCACTGGAAAGCACCAAACTCTCAGCCTAAAGCAAACGATGTTGAGGATGAGGAGAAAACTAGAATAGTAGTGAGGAATATGACAAATGAAGAGGACGAGGCTCTTCACACATCAAAACTAAAGTCTGACACAAAACTAAAGTATTAACATACAAAATATCTTGAAACTTTGTGAACACAATTTAGAAATAAAATCTACTTGTTCATCCAAAATAGAAGTAACTCAGTTGACCACCGTAACTTTCCCCAAATCTGTTCAGTATCAAAATGAGCCCAGAGAGTTCTGCCTGTGCTTCCTCCTCCTCCATCTCAGTTTTGCCCTTGCAGAACTTAGCAGGGAGAAGGACAGGGACAAAGCCAGGAGCAGAGGACTCTGCCTGCCAATTCTTGGCCTCGCTGTCTCCACCCTGCTGCTCCCAATGGGCATCAGACACTGGTGAATTCCAATGAAGGCCTTTTTCATTTCTGCACGGCATAAGCCTCAAGATAGCTGAGAAGCAGGGAGTGGCTGGTGTCAGCTGATATTCAAACAGAGAGCAAATTTAGAGAGTAGGGTTCATTATTGCTCTTCTGGCTGAAAAATGGCCGCATTGTAAGACTTTTCCCATGGCATCACAAAGCTGAAAAAGACCCAGAATCCTCTATTCACACTTCTTACCCTAGAAGTTACTTTCTGCAAATACAAGTGAGGGTGGATGTTTAAAATATCCCCCTGGCAAAAAAGGCAAATGTAAAAAAATTGCAGAGAGGCATATTTTTGATGCTTTCTTTTTGGAATGGCTAATTGATTCCATTTTTCAAAGGCTACAAAAGACACCTTAAATAAAACAGCAGCAAAAAAGTAGGGAAACACTTCGGCATGACTGTTTATCTTCTTAAAATACCCCCCCCATCAAAAATCCTCCCCAGCTTCAATAACTTACAGTTCCTTTGTTTTGCACAAAGGACTCAAGAAATAGCAAAGTCTGTGTGCCTGGATGTGTTTGTGTTCTGTAAGGAGGAATTTAAAAATAACCCTCAAAATAGGGAGTGTCTTCTGTATTTCTCTCCCTCCTTCTACCCCTTGGTACTCATACATTTTGGCTCCCGGACGATTGAAACCCGGAAGTGAATGTTCCGGTTTGCAAACGTTATTTCAGAAGCTGAACGTCCAGCGCAGCTTCCGATTGGCTGCAGGATGCCTCTGCAGCCAATCAGAAGCCACGCCTTGGTTTCTGAATGTTTCAGATGTCGAATGGACTTCCGGAATGCATTCTGTTCAAAAACCAAGGTACGACTGTATTCCATTTTGTTCCATGCCACCCTCCAATACTGCTCCCCTCTCATCCCATTGCCTTGTACTTCAGTCCTCCCTGCTTGTGTCGGCTGTGAAGCACTCTGGAGGCAAGCCCAGCCCAGCCCAGCAGAACCACAAGACCAAGCATGGCACTTCTAGGCATTGTGAGGCCCCTCAAAAGCGGCTGTTGTGCACTAACCATATTCACAGATTTTTATCTCTAATGCCCACTGACCAGCAGTGAAGTCTGTGTGAAAATAAGTAAATAAAAGTTTGCATCTGAAAGCAACAGCCTGTGTTTTGGGCTTTGATTGGAATTGTCCCCACCCCCAATCCAAGTTTGGAGGAGGAACAGAATTTCCAAGCCAATGTTTCAGTTATTCAGTGCAACTTGTTTTTTGTTGTGAGGTGAGCACCATAACCCCAATATTATAGTTTTGAGGGAACAATGACTAATTTTCAAACTTTTTCTTGTAGCCACTGGGTTCTGGACTACATATGTGCCAAATTCTAAATTTCTGGGTGCCTTGGATGTACATTAACCATTTGAGAGAGAAGTGCAAATTTGTCCTCCACTTTTAGGTATCTTATTTTCACATCCTCCTAGTGTCCTGGTCTATGCATGACAAGCCAGATGCAGTCCTATCTGGCCTGCTAACCACCCATTTAGACTTGCAATGGGTTAGACATGGAGCCAACTTTTAAAAAGCACTGAAAATTGCCATTGGTCCAGAATATGCTCCCAAGATTATTTTGGCCACATTACATCCCAGCTCTGCCAGCTGCACTGGATCCCAGTTAAGTTTCTGGGCTCAATTTAAAGTGATGCTTGCATACTTTTAAAGCTCTTAACAACTTTAAAGGCCAAGTTACTTTTTAAAAAAATATATTTTCTCTGATCCTTAACATCCTCATCAGAGGAGCCCGTGCTTCAAGTGCCCTTGGCAAATGAAGTGAGATGGGTGGCTCCTAGGAAGAAGGCCTTTGTGGTGGTGGCATCCTCTCAATGTAGCACCCTCCCATCTTTTTAAAATTATAGGCTTCTCAAATCAGGGTTTGTGATTTATTTTATATGCATGTTCTTAATTGCTGTACTTATTCATCCTTCAATAATAACTTTTATCATTTGTATCATCATATTTAGTAATGTATTTTATTCCTTTAATTTTTTGTGAGCCACCCAGAAGGTATATGTCATTGCACAGTGTGGAGGAATGAAGGTACACGTTTGTCTGTTTTAGGGCTTGGAACAGACTTTCAAAGTTCAAAGCCTTGTGCTGTTGTGGACCTGTTTAGCAGGAGCTGCTTGGTGGCAGCAGGGAGCAAAGAGACTGGGAGCTTCTCTCTGGGAGCTGACATCTTTACAAAGTCAAGGTAACCCAAGGTTTTGCTTAAGTGACTTGTTGACCAAACTCAAAATGGTTTCTGGTTAACAGTTTAGGTACTGTATTTATTTGTATGTTTCAAACAGATTTTATATATGTATATATTTTTAGTTCTCTTAATTGTTTTTTAATTGTTTTTCCCATGTGTTTAGTGATTCTTGTTCTTATCTGTAAGCTGCCTTGAGTCCTGTCTGGGGGGGAAAGCGGGGTATTATGATTGTTGTTGTTGTTAAAGCTAGCTGCCCCCAGCAGCCCCAGGTGCCCTGTTCTGACATTCTTACCTTATGTTCTCCTCCAGCATGTTACTGCTCACAGCTGTGTGTCCTTCTGGAATGGGTTGCACGGGGTGCATTAAATGAACTGTCCGATAAAGCTGAGTTGGATGGACTGGCTGACTAGGCTGCACCGTCCTCAACACTTCTGATGTCACGGTGGGCAGCTGCTGTTGAAAATTTTCAATGGGCTGCTTAAGCCTGGCAGACTTGGAGTTGACTGGAGTCTTTAAAACAGCAGCAGATGTTCCTTTTTGTGCCATGTTTGAAGATGTTTTAGACCTGCCCATTTGGTTTCTATTACCAACAGGTGCTGATTGTAAAGATGAATCAGGGGAATCTGTACTCAAACTTGGATCTTCATCATCTATGTAAACAAGGTCTTTTGGCATTTCTTTAAACTGATACACCAAACGTTGTCCTTCTACTTTGGCCAGAATGCCTCTTTGGTAATAATATCTATTTGAAGTAGGAAAACACACCAAAGATTACACAAAGGAATAGAGTTGTACCTTGGTTGTTGAACAGAATCTGTTCCAGAAGTCCATTCGACTTTCGAAAACGTTCGAAAACCCAAGGCATGGCTTCTGATTGGCTACAGGAGCTTCCTGCACTGAATCAGAAGCTGCAGAAGCTGTGTTGGACATTCGGGTTCCAAAGAACGTACACGAACCGGAACACTCACTTCCAGGTTCGCGGCGTTCAGGAGCCAAAACGTTTGAGTCGCAAGGTGTTCATCGACCAAGGTACGACTGTATTTAAAGTTGGAGAAACTCTACCTAAAATACTGTTTTAACACTAACAACAGATTAATGCAGCAATATGCACTTTTAAAAGAATGAACACAATTCATTTACTGCTGTTTCTGTTCTTGCTGAGCTTTGAATACTCAAGTACTTTCCCCCAACAGATCACTCTCCATATTATGAAAGGTCTTCATGCAAACAAGGACATTCCGCTCAAAGTTCAGAACAGGATCCACCTGGGCTTATGAAGCCACACTGCCAACAAAAATGCAGTTGTGGGCCTGAGATGGTCATGATTCATTTAACAGCCGGTATCCATGCTAAGAGAGGAAGATTGTGAGCCATGTCTTACTAGTCCAGCGCTAGCTAGTCTTGATTCAACCACAGTATTAACATTCCTAGAATGTTAATATTATTTTCAATCTTTTCCCTCCCAAGTCAGCATTGCAGGCTCACTGATCAGACGCTATCCTCATTAGGTTGGGAGTGTGGTTTTGGAGAGTGGGGTGAGCTCCGCACAAAGTATTTTTGTATATCTGAATATAATATTTACTAGTATTAGTGCTTAACATTGTTTTAGCTTAGGATGCTCTCCCCCTTATGATATACATTCTGTGCTGAGTATATTCTGTCATGATCTTAAGTTTACCTACCTGAGAGCCCTGCCCATTGTTTCATAATTCATATCGGGTTTGTTTTTGTGCTTTCCCCACAACCTCGACACGGCCTTGGAATCCACAAGCTTAAAAATGCCCTTTTCCCTCTGAGTCCATTTTATGTACTTCGGACAAGTGGCTTTGTCCTGAAGCAGAGCTAGCAAGAACTCCCAAAGGTAAATTGTGTTTCCTAAAATAAATGAATAAAAAGAATTTCAGAAAGACACATTTTGAGAAAACAATTGTTACCGCAGTAAACAACAAATAACTTGTCCCAATAAAATGACACTTGTAAGTACAAAGATGTGTAATTTATTAATTAACTGAAAATAAAATATACAAACGATGACCTGCACATACATAGCAATAACTTCAAATAAATTATCCTGGATTTTGGGACCCTTCTTTTCTTCCATAGTCCCACAGCCACCTCTCTGTCTCAAAATCGCATTATGGATTCATTATAATATACCACTCATTAGATCATTAGAATTCTATGCAAACATTGGCATGTACTCTGGAATGTACCAGGTTGTAATGAATTTCCTTTGATTGGCCTGAGATGGACCAAATCAATTAAGGAAATGTTAGTACACACGGATATGAATTCCGAAAGAATTATAACTCGTACCATCAGTAGTTCTGGGCCACTGGTCACCACAGATGTAGCAGATGTTTATCCTGCCCTTTTTCTTTACAGATTAAAGAAATTTATGATGAGAAAACTAATTTCAGCTTTGCTATTTGTCAATTTAGTACATGTCAGACCAGAGCCGTTGTCTACCTTATTCGATGTCCTTGTAATCTATTGTATATAGGCTCCACCACTTTGAGCAGTTGGGGTTCGGATTGGGGAACATCGTTCACGCATACGTAACGCCAATATGGAGGCACCTCTGGTAGAACATTTTGTTTCCCACAACCATTCAGATACGGATTTATTATTTACAGTTTTATGGGTGAATCAGGGGACAAAGGGTATCAGAAAAGATTATGAATGTCAGTTACGGCAGCAAGAAACCCGTTTTATTTCTATGTTTAAATCCATTCATCCAGGGGGACTTCAACTCGGAATTAGACCTCAAATGTTTTATTTGATTATCTGTATCCTTGCTGTTTCTTTGTACTGTGGCTTTAAGCTCAGTCTCCTTGTTATCAGTATCACCTGGGGCTGGCTATATATATTTTTCAAAAAATGATGTTAGTAACAGTGACTACATAATCGTATGAGCACTGTTCCAGAGTATTTTTCATTCTCATGTATATTATATCAATTAAAAAAAAGATTGGGTATGTAACCTTTTTATGTTACAGTTTATAATTTCCACACTATTTGAAGTTATTGTTATGTATGTGCAGGTCATCGTCTGTATATTTTATTTTCAGATAATGAAGAAATTACACATCTTTGTACTTACGAGAGTTTGTTGAACTAATTGGCTGATGAAGAGCTGAACGAAACAGTAGTTACTATCCAGAAACACTGTTCAGCAGAGTTCAGAGTTGGACATCAGAATTGGACATTTGCTGATTATACAAACTTGATTTCCGCTGGGTAAAGTCTGGCACCGTGAAATTATTCAAGGACTTTCAGAGACTTCAGTTTGATAGTTTTCATGTTTTGCATTATTCCATAAAGTTTTCTATACTGTAAGTGTTTCTGGCCATTGTGTTGCTTTCAATATTGCTGAGTCACATTTTGCAACACAATGGTTTGTTTGTTTACCCAATAGAATGACAGACTTTTGTCATGCTAAGTAACAAAGTTTCATCTGATTACTCTAAATATCATGCCACATTTTCCCATGAGTGCTGGGTAGATTCCTGCCACAATCTGTATGAATTCTCTATTCAGTAAACACTTGCCAAAAGTTATAAAAGGAACAGGGATTGTATTTGTCCCTTGCTGCTTTGACACCCAATGCCATTTACTCTGGGACACCAAGAGTCGATGTGAAGCCCATCGTCAGTTTCCCAGCATCTGGCTATCTCCATACGGGCAGCTGCCATTAGAAAGGCTAAGAGGTCATCATTCGGGTAATCTTGAGTGGGTGGGGTCCTAAGTCCAAGTAGTGCTCATTTCTTTGAAGTCAGCACTCCAAAAAAGGTTTGATGATGCCGCAAAACCACCAATAGAGAAATAAGTCCCTTTGACTGCACCCCCCCCAACATTTAGGATTGACTTCCTTAGATATTTGGGGTTGCCTCAAGAGGGCAATGGGATGCGGGTAAAACCTCAGCGCCTAGGACTTGCCAATCGCATGGTCGGCGGTTCGAATCCCCGCTGCAGGGTGCGCTCCCGCTGCTCGGTCCCAGCGCCTGCCAACCTAGCAGTTCGAAAGCACCCCCGGGTGCAAGTAGATAAATAGGGACCGCTTACTAGCGGGAAGGTAAACGGCGTTTCCGTGTGCGGCTCAGGCTCACCAGAGTAGCTTTGTCAGGCTGGCCATGTGACCCAGAAGTGTCTGCGGACAGCGCTGGCCCCCGGCTTCTAGAGTGAGATGAGCGCACAACCCTAGAGTCTGTCAAGACTGGCCCGTACGGGCAGGGGTACCTTTACTTTTTACCAAGAGGGCACAGGGCCACCTATGCAGAATGAGGATTCCCTTATCTTTGCAGAAACCTATTTCAACAGGCTCTTGGACTACAAAGCTGTCCAATTTTGTTCCAACTTTATGTTGATCATTTTCAACATATTGTCAAAAAGCAAAAGTATTTGAATCCAACTATTATACTTTGGTTCTGAGTGAGCATGTCAAGGCTATAACATTTGCAGATTCTCTATCATCAAGTTCAATAATGCCCAGAGTCTCCACACAAGTAGCACTATGGAGAGAATTTTACATGGGATCAAATCAGTCTATATTATAAGGAGCTCACAAGCATTACAGGACTTGTTCATAGTTCATAGTGTTGCTATTCTTCACTTAGACTAGTATTATCTGACAGGCACAGAGCAGAGTCCATTGTCACACACACACACACACACACCCTGGAAAAGCCACCTTTATACTGTAAACCTCCCTGTGATTCTCGGATGGAGGGCAGTATGTAAGCTTAATTAATAACAACAACAACAACAACTTAAAACTACAGTGTGGCTTAGTATCAGAAAGTACCAGCAGTGGGTACCTGTGTACTCCTGCAGTACAAAAAAGCAGCACTTGCCATGGAATGAGGCAAGGGCAATTTCCCAATTATCTTCTTTACTGTTATCACTGTAGATGGCAAATTCACTTCAGATGAAACAAGAAACACCTCTCATTGCCTCTTAAACCCTATGATCAGAATGAAGCAGCCCTGCTAAAGTAGTAGTTGTGCTTGACTCCCAATTATCCAGAATGTTATATACTCAGCTCTATCGACAGGCGTCGGATCATGTTGCCGATGCTTACCCTTCCCATCTTTGCTTTTCTTTTTCACTGATATGTTTGGAGTCAGAGTAGGAGATTCTGGTCGCGGAGCTTTGGGTTTCTTCCCTGAAATAAAATGACTGTTGTATGAACTTTCACACTGAAACTATAAAACAGACATAGGGCAACCAATGCTTTCACTTAATATCGAACCCACGGCACATCAGATTTAAAACAACCAAACTGCTAGATAAGACCACATCAGTTCAAGGACCCAGCACCCCACTGGAGTCCAAGTCAATGATTTTACAGTACTTATTTTGTGGGATAAATAGCTTCCCAATTATGGATCTCCAAATAATTTATCCAAAACTTAGCAATAAGCCTTTTCTAGTTAAATTCTGATAATTTATATTTATCCCATTTAGCAATGAGCTAAATAGGCATCTAAGAATCAATATTTTATTTATTTTTAATTTATCGCATCAACTGATTTTAAATAAAAACTGTAAATGGCTTACAAAAATATTAAAATTACAAATAAAAAGTTAAAAACAAGTGATTAAAACAATTAAAATTAACAGTAAAAGAGTAAAACATCAATATCTACAGCAGTTTACAAAAAGAATAAAACAATCAAATCAGTAAAAACAGTTAAAAACAACTATTAAGAACATTATTTAAAATAATTAAAATCAATGATAAGCCTAAAACCAGATTAAAACACATGTAAACACTCCACATATCTAGATAGGCTTGCATTAAAAAAAAGTTCTAGCTGGCACCAAGAAAAGTGCAGTGAAGGGGCCTGATGTCAAGAGGCAGGGCGTTCCAAAGTGCAGGTACTGCCGCACTAAAAGATCATTTTCTTACAAACGTGAAGCAAGTAATATGTGGCTCTGTAACAGCTCCAGTTCTGCTGGTTGAAGCAGATGAGTGGGGGCATATGAGGTAAGCATAAAGTAAAGTAAAGTAAAAAAAGTAAAGACGTTCTAAGCCATTAAGCTTGGCCTGGAAACAAAATCAGTAACCAGGGCAGATCCTGGAACAGAGATGCTCTATGCTGACAAGGCCTCACTCCTGTTAGCAACCATGCAGCAGCATTCTGCACTAAGTGCGGTTTCTGGGTCAGAGCGTAAGTGCAGCTCCACAGAGAGTCCGTTGAAGCAATCCAATCTTGAAGTCACCAGTGCCTGAACTACTGTGGTCAAGCTCTCGTGGTCCAGAATGGTTCAAGCTACCGTTTCAGTCACAGTTCAAAAAGATGCTTCTAGACACTGAGGCTGCCTGGGCCTCCAATGATGAAGATGGATCTGGAAGCATCCTCAGGCTGCCTTCAGTGGTAGCGCAACCCCACCAAGGGCGATTGACCAATTCCCCGCATGGTCAGCATGGTAATGTGCCAATATGTCCCCAGTTCCCATCTCATGTAAACAAGGAGGTACTTGGCCCCCGCCCCATTTCTGATATGAATGCTAAGCATTATTACACATTGGCCACATTTGCACAACACAATCTTGGCTGGTCTGGAAGTCATTAATCATGGTTCCCGGTACACATGTAACAGGAAGCTATGTCAACTGTGACTTCCTGATCTGATTTCCTCACTTGCCTGAAGGGAGAAGTGAAATGGAAGCAAAGAGGTTCATGTGACTGTACAAAACGAGCACATGTCATGTGGTTTATTAAACAACTTGACCATGTGATTATTGTATAATCGTCTTTGTCAATTTATATTACATGTATATCTAAACATATACATGGGAGGAATTCAACGTCACACTAAGGTGGTAATTCTGTCAGCACAAGCATTTCGGCTTGCACACAGTTCTGTGCAGAGCAAGGGGAGAAACTCCATTGGGTAACAACAGAAAGGACTTATGCAGGGCTTCCACTGATGCAACTCGTTAGTTGAATCTACCCATCATTATGGCTCATGCCATGTTGGAGACTAAGAATCATAGAATCTTAGAGCTGGAAGGTACCCCAAGGGTCATCTAGTCCCACCCCCTGCAATGCAGGAATTTCAGCTAAAGCATCCATGAGAGATGGCCACTCTGCTTAAAAACCTCCAAGGAAGGAGAATCCATCACCTCTCGTGGGAGTCTGTTCCACTGCTGAACAGCTCTTACTGTCAGAAAGTTTTTTCGAATGTTTAGTTGGAATCTCCTTTCTTGCAACTTGAAGCCATTGGTTTGAGTCCTACCCTCCAGAGCAGGAGAAAACAAGTTTGTTCCACCCTCCACGTGACGGCCTTTGAGATATTTGAAGATGGCTATCATATCTCCTCTTGGTCATATCTTTTCCAGGCTAAACATACACAGCTTCCTTCAAGCACTCCTCATAAGGCTTGGTTTCCAGACCCTTGATCATCTTGGTTGCCCTCCTCTGCTCACCTTCCAGCTTGTCAACATCCTTCTTAAATTGTGGTGCCCAAAATTGGACACAGTATTCCAAGTGCGGTCTGACCAAGTTAGAATAGAGTGGTACTATTATTTCCCTTGATCTGGACGCTAGACTTCTGTTGATGCAGCCAAGAATAGTGTTAGCTTTTTTGCTGCTGCATCACACTGTTCACTCATGTTAAGCTTGTGGTCCACCAAGACCCCTAGATCCTTTTCACATGTACTGCTAGTAAGCCAATTGTCCCCCATCCTATATATGTGCATCTGGTTCTTCCTGCCTAAGTGCAGAACCTTACATTTGTCTCCACTGAAATTCATTTTGTTAGCTTGCGCCCAGTTCTCCAATCTGTTACAGTCATTTTGAATTCTAATTCTTTCTTCTGAGACATTAGCTACCCCTCCCAAATTGGGACAGAACCCTGCGGCACCCCACTTGTCACTTTTTTCCAGGATGACAAGGAACCATTAATGGTTCTTTGAGTTCGGTCAGTCAACCAGCTACAAATCCACCTAACAATAACCTCAAGAAAGTCTTTATTTTTTCTTTGTCAAATGCCTGACTGAAATCAAGATATACTATGTCCACAGCATTTCCCTGACCCACCAAGTTTGTAATTCCATAAATAAAAAAAATCAGATTGGTGTGTCATGACTTATTTTTGAGAAACCCATGCTGGGTCTTTGTAATCACAGCATCCTTTTCTAAATGCTCACAGAGCGACTGCTGAATTATCTGTTCTAGGACCTTTCCTGGTACTGATGTCAAGCTCACTGGTTGGTAGTTACCTGGGGACAGCATTTGCCCACCTCCAGTCTGTAGGGACCTCACCTGTTTTCTAAGAATTCTCAAAGATAATAGACAAAGGCTCTGAAATTACATCCCTAAGCTCCCTTGGATGCAGCTCATCAGACCCTGGTGATCTGAATTCATTTCAAGTAGCTAGGTGTTCCCTTACTTCCTCTTTTCCTATCTTGGGCTACAGCTCCTTCCTTACATTATTTATTCTGCTATCACCAGGTTGGGCATCACTTTCCTTTTGGGTGAAGACAGAGGTAAAGTAGGTGTTGAGGAGTTCCGCCTTTTCTCTGTCACCCTATAGCATTTCTCTGTGTTCCCCAAGCAGAGGACCTGCCACTTGCTTGTTCTTCCTCTTACTTCAGACATAGCCAAATAAACTTTTTTAATTATTTTTAACCTCTCTTGCAAGCCTGAGCTCATTCTGAGCTTTAGTCAGCCTGACTTTCCCCCTGCAACTGTAGGCTACTCGTGTATACTCCTTCTTTGTGATTTCCCCTTTCTTCCATTTCTTATACATGCCCTTCTTAACTCTCAGCTCGTCTGTAAGCTCCTTATGCAGCCACACTGCTTTCCTTCCACTTTGCTTGCCTTGTAACTGGAATGTACTTTAAAAAAGGAAGAAGCACCTCCCTGTGATGGGCTTTCACACAGATGGCATGCTGTTTAGGCATATGCATCAGCTAAGAGGTGCCTAAACACATAGGCTTCACACCAGCACAAATAACACAGAAAGGAGCCATAAGCTGAATCTGACCTCTGGTCCAACTGGCTCAGCACTGTCTACACTGAATGCCAATGGCTTTCCATGCTTTCACTGTCCTACCTGGAGATGCTGTGGATTAAAACTCAGAACTTTTGCATGGAAAGCAACTGCTCTACCATGGAGTCATGGCCTCCCCAATTAAATGATGTACTTTTCAATATTTGTGCCACCTGTGTGGAGTTCAATCACCAGGAAGGAGTTTCCAGAGGTCTCTGCATTTTTTTTTAATTTGCTTTTTATTGAAATTTCCACAAAAAAACAAAAAGCATACAACAAAGGAAAAATAAACAGACAAAAAACAACAACACTCTTATTAATCAATTTTAAGTATCATCCACTTATTTACACAACGTTAACACACGTCTTGACCTCCCTCCTATCCTGTTACAGTTTTCTTACATATTTTCTTCTCCTGCAGTTTCTAAATCTGTGATTTACGTATAACAAGGTTTATGTTAGGCCTACTGTAGTTTTTAATTTGTTACAGTTACTTTCAATGTACTTCACAAATTTACTCCATTCTTCAATAAACTTTGTTTCTTTTTGATGTCTAAGTTTGTTTGTCATTCTTACGAATTCTGCATATTCAAATAATTTTGTTTGCCAATCCATCTGCATTTTAAATCAGTTTTAGCTTTGCAGAATTGAAGTAGGCTGAACATGCTGCTAACCTATAGCTTCTACTCTGAAAATACCCAAGAATCAGAGTAGGTAGGTACTGAATTTAAACAGTTCAGTTCATGGTGTCTCTATCTTAGAATAATAATAATAATAATAATAATAATAATAATAATACAGAATGCTGCAGCGAGGCTCCTCACGGGGTCTCTGCCATGGGAGCACATTCACCCAGTGCTTTTCCAGCTGCACTGGCTCCCGGTGGAGTACAGGGTCAGAATTAAGGTGCTGGTTTTGACTTTTAAAGCCCTTCACGGCCTAGGACCCTTGTACCTATGGGATTGCCTCTCCTGGTATGCCCTACGGAGGACCTTAAGGTCCATAAATAACAACACCCTAGAGGTCCCGGGCCCTAAGGAAGTTAGATTAGCCTCAACCAGAGCCAGGGCCTTCTCAACACTGGCTCCGGCCTGGTGGAATGCTCTGTCTCTTGAGACCAGGGCCCTGCAGGATCTGATCTCTTTCCGCAGGGCCTGTAAGACAGAGTTGTTCCACCTGGCCTTTGGCTCAGAATCAGTTTGATTCCCTCCCAGTTTTTCTTTTTCCTTTCTCCTCCTATGATGAGATTGCTCCCTAATTGTTTTAATGTTGTATCTTAATCTTTTAAATTGTATTTTAACCAACTTGTTTTTATTATTGGTTGTTAGCCGCCCTGAGCCTGGTCTTGGCTGGGGAGGGCAGGGTATAAATAAAAATATATTATTATTATTATCATCATCATCATCATCATCATCATCTTAAAATAATCAAATGTTTCTTCTTGTACATACCTTAATTGAAATATAAAACAGCATCAAACACATCTACTTAGCTAAGAGATGTGATCATTCTGCTTTACTGATGAGCCACTATGCTAATTTGGATTATTTTCCCAATTGTTCAATGGATATTATAAACAAGCACACACTTATTCCATTTGTAGGATAATGTTTAGCACATAATCACATTTCTTACCTTTTCTCTTTTTTGGTTGCTCAAGTGCTAGAGTGCTTGGGGATTCAGCAAATGCATCTTGGATTTGGTGAACTTCCATCACCTCTGGAATCCCATCTAGTGTGACTGACACATGAGTTATAGGACCAAGGTCAACATCCTCCTCCATCCCAAACCCATGGGCTGCAGAAAAACAATAAAGAAGTCAATGAACACTTTAATGCTTTTGGAAAGGTTTATAGCAATGAGGTTACAAAAAAGTCAAGGCTCTGTAAGAACAAAAGCTGACTTTTGAATTTCAATCACTTTAACAGAATAACTAATAAAATGCTAATGTATCTTGACACATGTTAATTTGAATATACTTAATGTAGGTTACCTATTTCTCTTGACTAATCAAGGGACCTACTTAATTACAACCTTACAGGGCTGTTAAGAAGGTGATACTGGATAACTCCATGTGTGCTGCCTTACCCTCTCTGAAGGAAGAGCAAGATACATACTGAATGAAAAAATGAATACATCAGCTCGTCCCGGAAGTGACTTAACCAAAAGTGAACCAAAAGAGAGAGGTCTTATAGTAGCTCCAAATCTGAAGCTACTGAAACGGATTAATGTGAACATCAAACCAATGTTTTAAAAAAATCAGTGATAAATTTAACATTTAAGTTGTAAAGAGAATGTGGAAAGAAAATGACACTTGTGTGGACATTAAATATTTGTGCCTGATCCAGGCAACATTTTTACAGGTTTCATTAATGTCAATGGAAAGTTAGGTACAGGCTTAAATCTTTCCAAGACCAATTAGACTCAAAAGCAACTTCTGTGAAATCATGCTCCGTCTTTAAATAAAGGGAAGAAGATCTACTAACACTACAACTTTAAAGTAAAAGCTTTTCATTAACCCTTCCATTTCAAAAAATTGGGAGATTAGGACTAATTGAAAGGGTTGTTAATGATATTTTTAAAATAGCCTTGTTTTCTTCCCTAGCCTGCCCTATGGTGCAATGGCAAAACTACCAAGTAAACCTACTAGAGAGCTCAAGCCTTCTCTCCTGCAAAATCTAACACAGCCGCATAGTTTTTGGACAGAAGACACTTTGCACGGATGTATTCCTGTCAGACTCACTTGATCTCTTCTCATCCAGCATTGGGCCAGGAGAATCCATATTAAGAAGAGCTTCAGCAGCTTCGATGGTTTGCATTGTTTCATCTCCATTCTGACAAGACGCTTCAACTGCAGATAAGAGAGATAATTCAGCAAAAGACTAGCATATGAGATGAAATGAAAGCATTCTTTGATTTGGGTTTCATGCCATATATGGGATCTTGGGACATAACTACAAATCCCAAGAGGAGAAAATATTCATGATAGTGAATCTGTAGCTGCATTTCCTGCTTTCAGCCACTCCTGTAATAAGCTTTCTCAAGCCTTGCACATTTTCCACTTTGTTATGCATAAATTCAATGTCTCCCCATGATGTCAGTGATTGTGTTGAGGAGGAATGGTGGGAGTCTCCCCCTCCCCCTGCTCCTGATCAGCATCCCAGGAGCAGTCGAACAGTATAGATTTGGAACCGTGGTTTACAGAGGGACATAGTTCAGAATACAGAAGTTGGGAAGAACTGGGAGACAGAGAGTTAACAGACTCACTTTTGCTGGAAAGCGCCCATCTGCTCAGCCCAAGGTCAAGGAGAGCAAGATAAGGGGCAGCACAGAAAGCAAAGTGGTTGCAAGATCAGGTTGTAAGACGCAAAAGTGATGTGAGTGACAAGGGGGGAAGTGGGTGGAATCCTTAATTGTGAGCTTCTGCTTATCTACTGCCAAAGTGGGGGGAGGAAGCAGAGTCCCTGAAGCCTGACACACGGAGCTCTTGAATTATTAGCTATGTCAAGAAACAGCACCAAAAAGATTGACAAGTGAGGTGCTGTGTCTGGAGATTTCAGCTAATAATGCAGCAAAAGCAAGGCTCCCACAATAATGTCTCATGGAAAAACAAGATGGATGGAAAAACAATGTGTTGGTTCCAACATATTTTTTACTACATCTGTACCTCAAAAGGCCTTATGGTTCTGTCTAACTTTATTATCAGTCAGCAAACCACAATCCGTAGTTTGAAGTATGCTGGAAAATGATGGTTTGGTGTGATATCTGAATTGATAAATCATAGTTACAGCTGTTGATCTGCCTCAAGATTCAGTAATGAGATGAACTTTTGAAGGTGAGTACAGAAAGGATGAAAACAAAAGCAGATAAGCAGTTATAAACCATGGGTTTGCCCCTTCATTAGGAAGCTCAAACTATGGTTCAGTGTGATAACTCAATTGAGCTGGTTCAGGCAATCATAACTTGGCTTATTGAGGCAAGATATGCACAAGCTTTTGTCAGAGCACAGAGCCACTTCATGTGAGCTGAAATGAAATCAGAAAGCCTCCAAGTAACCATAGTTTCCCATTTCATTTCAGCTAGTAACCATGGTTTTCCAACTTGGACCAATCATGAAACCATGGTTACCGTATTTTTCGCACCATAGGACGCACTTTTTCCCTCCTAAAAAGCAAGGGAAAATGTGTGTGCGTCCTATGGAGCGAATGCAGGCTTTCGCTGAAGCCTGGAGAGTGAGAGGGGTCGGTGCGCACCGACCCCTCTCGCTCTCCTGGCTTCAGGAAGCTATCCGCTAGCCGTGGGAGACCCAGCTCTCCCACGGCTAGCGGAGCGCTGCATTAATCCCGAAGCTTGGGGCGTGCGGAGCTCAGCGCGCCCCAAGCTTCTGGGTGCCGGCAAGGAATTCCCCACAGGGCTCCCCACGCTGCGGATAGCAGCCTGCTTCCCGGAGCGTCGGGCGCCCTGAAAGCAGAGCGCCCGGCGCTTCGGGAACACATCCGCAGCGTGGGTAGCCTTGCAGGAGTTCCCCGCAGGGCTCCCCACGCTGCAGATAGCAGCCTGCCGCCCGGCGGGTGGGGCGCCCTGAAGCAGAGCGCCCCTCACGCCAGGCATACATCCGCAGCGTGCGGAGCCCTGCAGGAGTTCCCCGCAAGGCTCCCCAAGCTGCGGATAGCAGCCTGCCGCCCGGCGGGTGGGGTGCCCTGAAGCAGAGCGCCCCACGCGCCAAGCAGACATCAGCCAGCCCCACAAGCTTGGGGGACAGCAGGGAGGCGCAGCGCCACTATCCCGCTGTTCCTCGACCTGGTTCGGTTTCCCTGACCTGCTTTTGGGGGGGAAATAAAGGGGAAAATTTTTTCCTTTATTTCCCCCCCAAAAAACTAGGTGCGTCCTATTGTCCGGTGCGTCCAATCGTGCGAAAAATACGGTAATTGGAAGCTTCCTGGTTTAACAGGTCAAAAGGCATGGACATATCTCAGCCACTGTGTCCTTAAGTGACAATGCAAAAAAAATAAATGCTCACAAACCTGTAAGGGTGATATCATCATCTTCTATAATTTCTTCTTCTGCAACATCCAGCGAGTTCTCTGTTATCATGTCGCTGGGTTCAGCAACACAGGACAAACCAGAGTAATTGTTCAGGAGGTCTGCACTTGGTACCTGTTCCACAATGACAGCAGGAAAGATTGATGGATCACCCAGCTGTAAGAAGAAGGGGCAAGACAAAAACAAAACATTACTTTATCAGCAAACAATGGGAATAATTAGACATAATGTCATAACACAAATTGGCAAACGTGTTATCTGTCTCAACTTCATGAGTCAGCTGGAGCAATAAATTGCCTTGTAAGCATATTTTGCAATGTGTCTGCTGTAGCTTGAAGCATACTAGAATCCTGCTTTTTGGCACAGGCATTGTGCATATCTGGGGTAGCCAATTTGGTGTCCTACAGAGCGTGGGTGGTGCTGTAGGACGTGGGTGGCACTGTGGGTACTGGGAGGAGCCTAGGGCTTGCCAATCAGTAGGTCGGCGGTTCGAATCCCCCCGACGGGGTGAGCTCCCGTTGCTCGGTCCCTGCTCCTGCCAATGTAGCAGTTCGAAAGCACGAAGTTCAAGTAGATAAATAGGTACCACTCTGGTGGGGAGGTAAGCGGCGTTTCCGTGTGCTGCTCTGGTTCGCCAGAAGCAGCTTAGTCCTGTTGGCCACATGACCCAGAAGCTGTACGCTGGTTCCCTCGGCCAATAAAGTGAGATGAGCGCTGCAATCCCAGATTCGTCCACGACTGGACCTGACAGTCAGGGGTCCCTTTACCTTTACAGAGAATTTTAGGCAAGAATTCTCATCATCACTAGCTGGGCATGATGGAAGTTGAAATCCATCACCTTCTGATGGGCACTGTGTAGGCTATCCCCGTTTAGATCATCTGATGAGTTGGGACCCACTAGTGGGACCCAGTGACGCAACATGGGGTGCAACAGGACACTAACAGTTTACACTTGCATGGTAGCAAAGTAAGAAGCTCTGCACAAATAAAATACTTAGCTAAACTGAATGACTTATAACAGGGAAGGGGAACCTGTAGCCCTCCAGATGTTGGGACTACAATTCCCATCTTCCCTGACCGCAGGCTGTGCCTGCTCAGGCTGATTGGAACTGAAGTCCAACAGGATGTGGACTTAAAATGTTGGGAGATGGCAGAAAGTTAGAAGGAATTATTTCACACCTTTTCGGTTCCTCCAGACCACTTTAAGTTCTTTTTTCTTCCAGACTTTTAATAGATGCTATTGCAGTTGTTCACATCTGTCTTGTCTCAGGAGACACCTGGAAGACAGCACACCTCCCGGGACATCTCATTTCCTCCGCACACTGGTGCCTCTGTCCCCATCAGTAGGGAGTCACCTACCCCTGCCACTTGTCTCTCCCTCCTCTGGGGAGTGGCAGGAATCATGATGTCTTCCACAGCCTCCTCAGAGTGTTCTAAGGTCTGCATCTGCTGTTCTTGAGTCTTTTCCTCTTGACTATTGGCGCTTATCTGGATATTATTAGGATAGGTTACAAAGGCAGGAACCTTATGGCTCAAGTACTTCCCACTCCTTCCTCTCAGCTTGCCTTCTCCACACTGCAATTCCCTTTCTCAGAGATCATCTCCATGGAAGGTAGCAAGTGGGTTATTGGCATACTCATCTGTCAGAGCTGCTCCCCGATCCTAGCTCACAGAGGATCACGCTAGCCAGCATTCGCTTTATAAAAGTCTTTATTGATTTACAGTTTCCATTTCCAAGCTGCTGCGTGCAACTCTACGTCTTATGGCTAGACCGGCGAAGCTCCGTCTGAGTCTCCGCCCCTCGTACACCAACTTAATATCCTCGCCTTACTCCACCTTTTCCGCCTGACCGTCCTTCTCTGGGTCCCTCTGCCCCCCGTGGTCTCCTCCCTCCGGGACTCCTCTGACGCTGACCCCCCGGACCCTCCTGTCTCCTTGCGTCGGGCTTTAGGACCTGGCTCCCTTTCCGGGCTGCTCACTGCGCCGCCTTCCTGTGCATTTGAACTTGGCGCGCGCGCCCAACCTTCCACTTTCCGCTTGACCGTTTCTTCGCTCCCCGATGGGGGTGTGGTCACTCCTGACTCATGCCCTCCTCCCTGCTGCGAGCTGCCAGGGCTCGATCCCTGACGTCTTTCCTCTCCACTGCGCTCTGGTGGGGACGCTGGCCCCGATTTCCAACTGCTGCCCTCTGAACCCCCGCTGGTCCCTTCCTCCTGGGGTGTCCCCCTAGGCCCCCCCTTTGCTCTGGCCACTGGCGCTCCTTTCTGTGAATCTTCCGATTCACTGGAAAGACTCGGAGATCTCAGGTCGTCGTCATCACTCATCCTTTCTTCGGACTCCTCCCCCTCGCTCTCTGTTTCCTCCCTTGCCCTCGCCTCTGCTCCTGAACCCCTGACATCATCCATGATCCAAAGGGGTTAGGTCAAGAATGGAAAAGGACTCCTCCAAATCCATCTCCTCCTGTCTCTTCCTCCTCTCCTCTGGAGGGTGGCAGGATCGTTTTGTGCACTGTACCTTTCACAGCCACCTTGGTGTATTCTGAGGCTGGCAAATGCTTCCCATGCTCCTCTGGCCCAGAACTGGTGTCCAAGGTGAGAGCATGGAAGTGATTTTGCAGCTCCAACAACACAGTATGGTTTGTGACAGTCCTACTTCTGTGCATCACATTCCCCCAGGAGTTAGTCTCTTGCAGTGGGAGATCTTCCTCCTCCCTAGAGCCATCTCACCTCTGTTGCTGTGCCATCACAGTCCAACTCAGCTCTACTGAGAAACACTGCATCTTGTCCTGTCACTCGAAGTGTGTCTAGGTGAGCTTCAAGTTGCTGGACCTTCTCTCCCAGCAAAGCAACCAGCTTACACTTGCTACAAATGTACTTTCACACGTCCTCTGGCAGAAAGACCAACATGGCACAGGTACTGCAGGTCATGGCAGTAGCTCCTTTGCCCTCTATGACTCTTGGTCCTATGCACACCATGAGACAGGACTCCAGGCCTCCCCGTCAAACTGCCCTCGCAAATGCCCACCTGCAAGTTCTGATCACAAGTTCTTGGCTGTGAGCTCCCAGAAGCTGCAATGTGCTAAGTTTGCTGCTGGCTGCTAACTCCTCCCTAAGGTTTACTCCAAGTATAACACAGCTAGATATCTGCCAATGTGTATGATTTAAATGCTTTTGGAATTCAATCATTTAGCAGAGACACCATTTCAACAGTTTTATAAAAAGAGGCAGTATAAAATTGTGATAGGAGTAATTTGGCAACTTTCATAGAGTTGTGACCATGCATTAGCTAACAAGTTCACATATAGGCATTAGTTCCTCTTCTATGAGTGTCCCACAGGTGTCTCTATTCTTCCTTAAATTCTATTATATTAGCTCAGCTCAGTGCAACTGGAACAACCCCCATTCACCTTGTGGAGCCAAGAGGAGAGTGGGTGATTCTCTTGCAGGTGTGCTGGGCTTCTGAGGTACTTGGGGCTGCTGACCAAAGCGTGCCAAAAAATATGCAAACCATTTATTGCATTTGTAATACTTAGCATATGAAGAGGCTTTTAGAATACAGTTCTGTATTTTGACTCTTCTTTATCTTAGGCAACTTCCTCTTCTGCTGTTGCAAACTTTTCCTTTTTTAAAGGAGAAGTTACAAATGAGACATATTTACTATATGAAGAAACCTTTAGAATACAACTATGTATTTGCACTTTGCATGTTTTTTTCCAGCTTGGGCAATCCCTACTGTTGTAAAAATCTGTTCTTACAGAAGTCAAGAATTATCTGTTATTGACAGTGCAAGCCTATACATCTACTCAAATGTAAGCACCATTCAGTTCAATGAGAGTTACTCAAAGGTAAGTGTGCAAGGATTACAGCTTACATCAATTTTCGGTTTCTGGCTGACGTCAGGATTAATGGCAGTAGCTCTCCACTGCCCTCCGGGGCAGTAAGGAAGTTCAGGCAGGGGAAAGCCAAAATTTATGAGGTAAAATTCCTGTCAATGTTCCCCAGTGGGTTCTGGGGAGTTCACTGCAACCCGCTATGCCGCTTAAGCCCGTGTCTGCCGAATTGAAAGGCAAAGTGGGTATTACCTAGAATCATAGAATCATAGAGTTGGAAGAGACCACAAGGGCCATCGAGTCCAACCCCCTGCCAAGCAGGAAACACCATCAGAGCACTCCTGACACATGGTTGTCAAGCCTCTGCTTAAAGACCTCCAAAGAAGGAGACTCCACCACACTCCTTGGCAGCAAATTCCACTGTCAAACAGCTCTTACTGTCAGGAAGTTCTTCCTAATGTTTAGGTGGAATCTTCTTTCTTGTAGTTTGGATCCATTGCTCCGTGTCCGCTTCTCTGGAGCAGCAGAAAACAACCTTTCTCCCTCCTCTATGTGACATCCTTTTATATATTTGAACATGGCTATCATATCACCCCTTAACCTCCTCTTCTCCAGGCTAAACATGCCCAGCTCCCTTAGCCGTTCCTCATAAGGCATCGTTTCCAGGCCTTTGACCATTTTGGTTGCCCTCCTCTGGACACGTTCCAGTTTGTCAGTCTCCTTCTTGAACTGTGGTGCCCAGAACTGGACACAGTACTCCAGGTGAGGTCTGACCAGAGCAGAATACAGTGGCACTATTACTTCCCTTGATCTAGATGCTATACTCCTATTGATGCAGCCCAGAATTGCATTGGCTTTTTTAGCTGCCGCGTCACACTGTTGGCTCATGTCAAGTTTGTGGTCAACCAAGACTCCTAGATCCTTTTCACATGTACTGCTCTCAAGCCAGGTGTCACCCATCTTGTATTTGTGCCTCTCATTATTATTTTTTGCCCAAGTGCAATACTTTACATTTCTCCCTGTTAAAGTTCATCTTGTTTGTTTTGGCCCAGTTCTCTAATCTGTCAAGGTCATTTTGAAGTGTGATCCTGTCCTCTGGGGTGTTAGCCACCCCTCCCAGTTTGGTGTCATCTGCAAATTTGATCAGGATGCCCTTGAGTCCATCATCCAAGTCGTTGATAAAGATGTTGAATAAGACTGGGCCCAAGACAGAAACCTGTGGCACCCCACTAGTCACTCTTCTCCAGGATGAAGAGGAACCATTGATGAGCACCCTTTGGGTTCGGTCAGTCAGCCAGTTACAAATCCACTGAGTGGTAGCATAGTC